TGCCCCCCACCCCCCGCCCACCATCCGCCCACCGCCCCAGGTTGCTCGGGGGCAGGGTCCCCTGTGGGCTCCGGAGCAGGAGGCCTGGTGGCCACAGCAGGCTGGGGTGACGGTCCCCGCGGACTGGGGCTGCTGCAGGGGACATTGTGAGCAGATGAGCACTCCCCGCGGAGCCGCTGCCCTCGGGGCGTTTTCTGCTGGCCCTAACTCCCTCTGGCCCGTATCTGTAGCCGGTTCTCCCCCTAACTGCGGCCCACAGGGTGCTCCCTGAGAGCCGGATGTCTCGGTGTGTGAACTGCCACCTTCCAGCGGACAAGCCAGCTGGCGGCAGGCCAGGTTCCCCAGCCCCTAGACCCTGGGCTTTAGGGGCACAAACCAGGGGACTTCCTGCAGTGGGCTTCCTTCAGTCTTGAAGTGAAGTGGGGCGCCCAGTGCCTGCTGTCCAGGCCCAGCACACGTTATGGGATGGGAAAGGGCAGCTGCAGACACCCCCAGGGACACTGGCCAGCCCCGACTCTATCATTGGTCTTCCAGTTTGCTGTCCCCCCAGAGCAGGACTCTGCAGGACACCCAGGGTGTAGGCTCTTCTCAAAAGCACGTTTGACCCTGGACCCAGGGCTGAGGGTCAGCAGAACTCTGTGGCCTCGGGCTGTAAGGGGTAATGATGCCTCCATCCCCCTGGTGGTGTCCCCTGGAGAACAGAAGGGCTGGGCCAGGGTCAGTCCTCTACATGGGTCTGGAAGCCGCCTCCCTTGAAGGCCTCCAGTGGCATCGAGTTCGTCGGGCCAATGAGGCTGTGAGCGGAGGAGCCCTCTAGAGTCTCCCACTTCAGACAGGAAGCCCTCCACCCTGCTTCTTGGTCCCTAGCTCTCTTTCGTCCTGTCGTGTGTGGCCCACGTGGTGGGGAGAGTGCCCCTCACTACTGCCTGGTTCCCTGCCAATCCTTCACCGCAGACCCACAAGATGAGCTTTGGGTCCTCCTCGTGCAGCCGGCTGGACCGGCCCTCCCTCCAAAGGACAGGGGTCAAAAGCATGGCCGGCAACAGTGCTTTCTTTCCCTTCTGGCATCTCTGGGCCTCTGTGTGGCCAGTGGCACGAGCTGTGGCTCCCCAGATCTTGAAGATGCCTTCTCAGGGACATGGGATCCATTGTGGGTGCCCCGGCCCCTACCACCAGCCTGGAAGCACCTGGGGGCCCACTGTCCTGTCGGTCCCTGAAAGGCAGAGTCCTGCTGGGCATTTGTTGGCTGTGGACCCTGTGCTTCTCCCCTCCAGGGCTGCTCTGGTGACACCTGGGCCGTGGCCTGGGATTCGGGGCTCAGGGAGATGTGAAAGGGTGAGGCACCTGATTCCCCTTCTTCTAAAGGAGGGTCCTCCTGGACACGGGAGCGGACCCTGGTTGCCGTGAAGCCAGATGGGGTGCAGCGGCGGCTTGTTGGGGACGTGATCCAGCGCTTTGAGAGGAGGGGCTTCAAGCTGGTGGGGATGAAGATGCTGCAGGTACCAGGGCTCTCGACCCATGGGTGGCCTTGATGGGACTGGGGTGGGGGACTTCTTGTGGACCTCAGCCCTTCGTATTTCCACCCTGTATCTGGAGGAGTATGGTGTTGGCAGTAGCAGGGGACGGGTGGGGAGGTGGCTGCTGGTGTGCCAGGCCATGTAGGTGTTATTTGCAAAGTGCCCTGAGGTCAGGACACCATGGCCAGTGCCCCAGTGCCTAGGGGCTCCTCTCCCATCTTGCTCCAATGCCACCCAGGCGCCAGAGAGAGTCCTTGCTGAGCACTACCATGACCTGCAGAGGAAGCCTTTCTACCCAGCCCTCATCAGCTACATGACCTCCGGCCCCGTGGTGGCCATGGTATGGCAGGCATGGGTGGTGGAAAGGGTGGAGGGCCCTGGGCTGAGCCCAGAGCTGCTGAGTCCTTGGTGGTCCGCACCGCTCCCAACCTCCTTTATCTCTGTGCTGCAGGTCTGGGAAGGTCCCAACGTGGTCGGCTCCTCAAGGGCCATGATAGGACACACCGACTCCGCTGAGGCTGCCCCTGGCACCATCAGGGGGGACTTCAGCATCCACATCAGCAGGTCCGGGCACCCTGACACACTCAAGCCACCGGAGCTGATGGGCCAGCTCCTCAGGGTTGAGGAGGGCCCAAGTGTGGGGTGGTTGTCTGCCCCTGAGGCAGATCCTTGGGACCTGGGGATCTTGCTGGGCCACAGTAGAGACACAAGAGACTTTTGATGCCGGGATGTCACACACACCTAATGTTTGCTAGAAGAGTTTTTTCAAAGCCCTTTGCACACAGGAGATGATAAAGCATTCTCTATGTGTTGTGTGTGTACTCTGCCATCATTTCCTGTTACCTGTCCGGCCAGACACCCTGAGGGGTTGGCACGGGACAGCTGGTGGGAACATGAGGCTCCGGAGACGGTCTGGGCTGGTCATGAGGTTGTGGGTAAGAGGCCAAGGTCAGGCTGGAAGCAGTCTTCCAACCCTGTTCTTGCTTTCCTCTCTGCACAATGCTGGGCTCGCTCTTCTTGATGGTAGGGGATGAGCAGGTAGTCTCAGGGTCCCCGAGGTGCACGTTGAGGTCTGTGCCTTACCTTGCTGCCTGTCCTCTGGCACAGGAACATCATCCATGCCAGCGACTCCGTGGAAGGGGCCCAGAGGGAGATCCAACTGTGGTTTCAGAGCAGTGAGCTGGTGGACTGGGCAGACGAAGTCCACCAGAGCGGCATCTACCCACCGTGAGCACTCAGGCTGCCGTCGGCCACCCCAGCAGCCGCCCAGGATCAGCTACCTCTGTCGTCCCAGACTTGAGCGCACACCGTGGTTTGCCGGTTGGCCCCAGAACACCTTCCAGTCTACCTTCTGCCCTACCCCAGCTCAGAGGGGTTGAGCAACCAACTTTACGTGCCTTTTAGTATCCTAAGCCAGTAAGAGATCCACTTTCTGGACCAAAGTGTCAGACAACCTTCAGGGCATTTTCAAAAGTGTGTTGTGTAACCTTCCTTCCCCAAAAGGTGGGTGGGACATTAAAATTCACTGTTGTGTGTTTGGGGGGGGGGGTTGATTATTACAGTTTTTGCCATCTCTGAGGTAGGGATGAGGACTTTATGCAAAGTTGTAAGAGTTTGAGAGTAGAAATAAAGCTTACTCTCACACACCAGCAGGGGATCAATAATTTTGTTGAATGTATCAGACAGGCTAGGTCCAAAGACCGCCAGCCTGAAATGCAGGGGAATCAAGCCGAGTCCCAGAGCTGGTGCTGCCCCAGGCCTCATTCATCGGATCATGCTAAATGAGGAGCTGCCTGCCGTGGGCAGAACTGGAGGGCGCCCACTAAGACCTCCCCCAGGGCAGGAGGCCTTTCATGGCCTCGTATGGTGGAGACTGACTGGAGCTGCCTGTGTCTGCTTGTTCTCACGTTGGCATTACACACTGCACACCACACCTGGGGCCTCGGATGTGTCCCCGGTCCCTTGTCCCAGGTACTGGACCTTGCATATCGTTACACCTGCTGAGCCGCCTTGGTCCTCACTTACTCTTTCTGACATCTTTACAAAGGATGCCCTGATCCCGGGCTCGCAGCCCCCGTCGCTACCCGTGCCTGCGCGTGGACGTGCCCAGACTTAACTCATGAGTCATGAAGCCGACGTTCTGGGAACCGGCACTGGGGTTGGCTGCGCGCGGGGAAGGCTGTGATTGACCGTGGCTTTCCTGGGCCGCGGTCTCCTCGCTCCTGCGCTGTCGTGTTTATGCAACAGTGAAGGGGGTGGCCCCCCCAGGTGTTGTTGTTTTAAGACTTAATTTGGAAGCGAGAGAGGGGATAGGGTCAGAGGGAGAAGCAGACTCCGGGCGGAATGGGTAGCCCGACGCGGGGCTCCGTCCCAGGACTCGGACCACGACCGGAGCCCAAGGCAGTCGCTTAACCCAGTGAGCCGCGCAGGCGCCCCGACCAGGTGTCTTACGTGCAGAGCGGGCGCGCGAGGGCGCCACCTTAAGCCGGGAACCTAGTGTCCCCGCGCCCCGCTGGCTCCCAGCACCGAACTGACACCGAAGCTTGTCAGAGACTCGGACGCATTAAGTCCCGTAGCCCGCTCAAGCGGTCCCCGCCTTGGGGACTCACCCGCCACCCTGCGCCTGCGCGCGTCGCCACCCACCTCCCGTGCTCGCAGGCCGCGCCGCCGCGGAGAGCGAAAGATCCTGGGAGGAGCCATGGCTGCTGTGGGCGCAGCTAGCAGGCGGACGGTCTCTGTGGGAGCGGCGTCAGCAGCTACGGGCGGGACTCTCTTCGGGCGCCATCGGCGGGGCGTCCTGGGCGGAAGAGGAGGTGGGTGGGGGCGGGGTTCGCGGGGCGGGCGAACGCCGTGGGCGGGGCATCCTGGGCGGAAGAGGAGGTGGTTGTGGGGTGAGGAGGTCCTGAGCGGAAGCGGAGGTGGCTGTGGCCGGACGTCCTGGGCGGAAGAGGAGGTGCCTGTAGGCGGTGCTATCGGAGCGTCCGGGGAGGAACTGGAGGAGTCTGTGGGCGGGGCCTTCGGACGCCGTGGGCGGGGGCCCTGGGCGGAAGAGGAAGGGGATGTGGGTGGGACTGGCGGGGTAGTTAGGCGCCGTGGGCGGGGCGTCCTGGGCGGAAGAGGAGGTGGCTGTGGGCGGGCCGTCCTGGTGGAAGAGGAGGTGACTGGGGGCGGAGCGGGTGGAGTCGTCGGGCGCCATAGGCGGGGCGTCCTGGGCGGCAGAGGAGGAGGCTAGGGGCGGGGCGGGCGGGGCCGTCGGGCGCCGTGGGCGGGGCGTCCTGGGCGGAAGAGGAGGTGGCTGGGGCGAGGTGGGCGGTGCCGTCGGGCGCTGGGGGCGGGGCGTCCTGGGTGGAAGAGGAGGTGGCTGGGGGCGGTGCTGTCGGGCTCCATGGGCGGGGCGTCCTGGGCGGAAGAGGCGGTGGCTGGGGGCGGGGCGGGCGGAGCCGTCGGAGGCTGAGGGCCGCCCCCTGGACTTCGGAACCCTGCCATTGTTGGGGCTGACGGCCTGCGAGCGTGGCGGGTGTCGGAGGCGCTCGGATTCCCGACCGGGCCGGTCCCAGCCGTCCTCGTCGCCCTCCGCGCGCACCGAGCGCCATGGCCCAGCCGCCGCCCGACGTCAGCGAGGACGAGTGTCTCCCTGAGTACCGCTATCGCTTCTGCCCCGACCTGCTCCGGTGAGGGCGGGGGTGGGGGACCCGGGACGGGGGCCGGTGCGGCCTCTGAGGAGGTGGCGCGGGCGCCGCGGGGCGTGGTGACGCAGGTGCTCTGCGCCGCTTCGCTCTGTCGGCCGCGTCCGTGTCTGGGGTCGGGGGCTCAGGACCCGTGGCGGGGCGCTCGTCTGTCTTCGGAGCCGCGCTCTGCGGAAGAATTGATGACGCGTTCCGGGCAGGCTCCGTGCCCCGCGCAGGCTCCGTGCCCCGCGCAGGCTCCGTGCCCCGCGCGGGCTTGAACTCGGGACCGGGACGCAGTCTCGGCTCCGCCGCGAGCCCTCAGGCGCCCGGTAGCTCGGAACTCTCTGAGCGGAGCTGCTCGCGATGAGACCGTTTTCCATGGAGACCCAGAAGCTGGGGGATGCGGGCTTGAGGAAGGAGCGTCGAGCCGCCTTACAGCCTCACGGTGTTCCTGGCCAGCAGCTCCGCCGGTGGGAGTGCGCAGTGGACGGTCAAGAGCTTCCTCCCGCCCCGGGTCTGCAGGGATCGCTCGCGCTCTCTCTCTTTTAATTTCGCGATTTTTATTCTGACTGTTCCTTTTTATTTTCTTAAATTTTAAATTTAAAATTTTTTTTTAAATTTCGAGTAATTTATCTTTTCAAATTTAAGTTCAGTTAGTGAACACAGAGTGTATTATTGGTTTCAGAGGTAGGGATCAGCTCTCAGTCTCATAAAACTCCCAGTGCTCACCGAATCATCTGCCTTCTCTGTCCATCGTCCGGATGCCCCCTCCGCCCACCACCCTCCCCTCCAGCAGCCCTCAGTTTCTTTACTATAGTTAAGAGCCTCTCAGGGGTTGCCTCTCTCTCTGATTTTCTCTTGTTCTATTTTTCCTTCTCTTCCCCATGATTCTGTTTTGTTTCTTAAATTCCACCTGTTAGTGAGATCATATGGTCATTATCTTTGACGGACTTACTTCACTTACCCTAATACTATCTACTTCCATCCACGTTGTTGCAAATAGCAAGATTTCTTTTTCTTTTTTTAGAGATTTTATTTATTTATTTGACAGAAAGAGATCACAAGTAGGCAGAGAGCCAGGCCGAGAGAGAGGAGGGAAAGGATTCTCCCTGCTGAGCAGAGCCCGATGTGGGGCTAGATCCCAGGACCGTAAGATCATGACCTGAGCCAAAGGCAGAGACTTAACCCTCTGAGCCACCCAGGTGCCCCAAGATTTCAATTTTTTATTATTAAATATACACATGTATTTTAAAGATTGATTTATTTTAGAGAGTGTGCACACACGCGTGTGCGTGCACGCATGAACAGGGGTGGGGCAGGCAGAAGGAAAAGGAGAGAATCTCGTGCATACTCCCCACACACAACCCTGAGATCATGACCTGTGCCAAAATCAAGAGTCAGAAGCTTAACGGACTGAGCCACCCAGGTGCCCCATGTATTTCAAACCAGCACGGAAGTCTTTGTTTTTTTATTTTTATTTTTTAGATTATTTATTTATTTACTTGATGCAGCGCACAAGCAAGGGGAGCAGCTGGCAGAGGGAGAGGGAGAAGCAGGCTTCCCAAGGAGCAGGGAGTCTAACTCAGGCCTTGATCCCAGGACCCCAGGATCATGACCTGAGCTGAAGGCAGTTGCTTAACCAACTGAGCCACCCAGGTGCCCCGGAAGTCTTTTTTTTTTTTTTTTTTTAAAGATTTTATTTATTTATTTGACAGAGAGAGAGAGATCACAAGTAGGCAGAGAGGCAGGCAGAGAGAGGAGGAAGCAGGCTCCCTGCTGAGCAGAGAGCCTGATGCGGGGCTCGATCTCAGGACCCTGAGATCATGACCTGAGCCGAAGGCAGAGGCTTTAACCCACTGAGCCACCCAGCCGCCCCCCCCCTTTTTTTTGGAAGTCTTTTTTTTTTAGTGGAATATTATGCTACTTATATTTATGGTAATTAATGACACAGGGATTTAATTTTTTGATGGCTGTGTAGTTATTCCATTGTGTGTATGTGGACATCTGGGCTCTTTCCATATTTTGGCTATTGTGGACATTGCTGCTATAAACACTGGGGAGGAGGTGCCCCTTCAGATCACTCCATTTGTATTTTTGGGGTAAATATCCAGGAGTGCAATTGCTGGGTCGTAGGATAGCTCTGTTTTTTCACCTTTTGAGGAAGCTCCATGCTGTTTTCCAGAGTGGCTGCACCAGCCTGCGTTCCCACCAACAGTGTAGGAGGGTTCCCTTTTCTCTGCATCCTTTCCAGCATCTGTCATTTCTTGATTTGCTAATTTTAGCCATTCTGACTGGTGTGGGGTATCGTTTCGTGGTGGTTTTGGTTTGTATTTCTCTGATGGCGAGTGATGTGGAGCATTTTCTCATGTCTGTTAGGCATTTGTATGTCTTCTGTAGAGAAATGTCTGTTCGTGTTTTCTGCCTATTTCTTGGTTGGATTATTTGTTCTTAGGGTTAGTTTCTTTCTTTCTTTCTTTTTTTTTTTTTTTTTTAAATTGTTGGAGAGAGAGTGCGGGTGCACTAGCAGGGTGAGTGGCCAGCAGAGGGAGAAGCAGACTCTCTGCTGAGCAAGGAGTGTGATGCCTGCCAGGCTCAGTCCCAGGACTCTGGGATCATTACCTGAGCAAAGGCAGATGCTTAACCAATGGAAGCACCTCGGCATCTGCGATAAGTTCTTTATAGATTCTGGATACTAACCCTTTATCTGATAAGACGATTGCAAATATTGGGGCTCCTGGGTGGCTCAGTGGGATAAGCCTCTGCCTTCGGCTCAGGTCATGATCTTAGGGTCCTGGGATTGAGCCCTACATCGGGCTCTCTGCTCAGCGGGGAGCCTGCCTCTCTGCCTACTTGTGATCTCGCTGTCAAATAAATAAATAAAATCTTAAAAAAAAAAGACGTTTGCAAATATCTCCTCCTGTTTTGTCGGTTGTCTTTGGTTTTTTTTTTTTACTGTTTTTCTTTGGTGTCTAAAAGCTTTTGATCTTGAAGAAGTCCCAGTAGTTCATTTTGGCCCTTGCTTCCCTTGCCTTTGGCGATGTTTCTAGGAAGAAGTTGCTGCGGCTGAGGTCGAAGAGGTTGCTGCCTGTGTTCTCCTCAAGGATTTTGATGGGTTCCTGTCTCACACTGAGGTCTCTCATCCATTTTGAGTCTGTTTTTGCGTGTGGTGTAAGGAAGTGGTCCAGTTTCATTCTTCTGCATGTGGCTGTCCAATTTCCCCAGCACCTTTTGTCGAAGAGACTGTCTTTTTTCCATTGGACATTCTTCCCTGCTTTGTTAAAGATTAGTTGACCACAGAGTTCAGGGTCCACTTCTGGGCTCTCTGTTCTGTTCCATTGATTGTGTGTCTGTTTTTGTGCCAGTACCATACTATCTTGATGATGACAGCTTTGTAATAGAGCTTGAAGTCTGGAATTGTGATGCCACCAACTTTGGTTTTCTTTGTCAACATTCCTCTGATTATTCGAGGTCTTTTCTGGTTCCATATAAATTTTAGGGTTATTTGTTCCATTTCTTTGAAAAAAATGGATGGGATTTTGATAGGGATTGCATTAAATGTGTAGATTGGTTTAGGTAGCATCAACATTTTCACAGTATTTGTTCTTTCAGTTCATGAGCGTGGAACGTTTTTCCATTTCTTGGTGTCTTCCTCAATTTCTTTAAGAGTACCTTATAGTTTTCTGAGTACAGACTCTTTGCCTCTTTGGTAAGATTTATTCCTAGGTATCTTATGGTTTTTGGGTGCAATTGTAAATGGGATTGACTCCTTAATTTCTTTTTCTCTGTTGCATTGTTGCTGTAGACAAATGCAGCTGATTTCTGTGCATTGATTTTATATCCTGACACTTTACTGAATTCCTGTACAAGTTCTAACAGATTTGGAGTGGAGTCTTTTGGGTTTTCCACATAGAGTATCATAGCATCTGCGAAGAGTGAGAGTTTGACTTCTTCTTTGCCGATTTGGATGCCTTTCATTTCTTTTTGTTGTCTAATTGCTGAGGCTGGGACTTCTAGTACAGTGTTGAACAGCAGGGGTGATAGTGGACATCCCTGCCGTGTTCCTGACCTTAGAGGAAAAAGCTCTCAGTTTTTCCCCATTGAGAGTGATATTCGCTGTGGGTTTTTCATAGATGGCTTTGATGATATTGAGGTATGTGCCCTCGATCCCTACACTGTGAAGAGATTTGATCAGGAAGGGATGCTGGACTTTGTCAAATGCTTTTTCAGCATCTATTGAGAGTATCATGTGGTTCTTGTTCTTTCTTTTATTAATGTGTTGTATCACATGATCGATTTGCGGATGTTGAACCACTCTTGCAGCCCTGGAATAAATCCCAGTTGGTCGTGGTGAATTATCCTTTTATTTATTTTTTTATAAAGATTTTTTATTTATTTATTTGACAGAGAGAGAGGGGGAAGCAGTCTCCCCGCCGAGCAGAGAACCTGATGCGGGGTTCAATCCCAGGACCCTGAGATCATGACTTGAGCCGAAGGCAGAGGCTTAACCCACTGAGCCAGCCAGGCGCCCCTCCTGGGGGGGTTTTGATGACTGCTTCAATTTCCCTGCTGACTGTGGGCTTCTTCAGGTTTCCTTTTCTTCCCGGTTCAGTTTTGGTTGTTTCTGTTTCTGGGAATGCATCCATCTCTTCCACATTGACTAATATGTTGGCGTATAGTTGCTCGTAATATGTTCTTATAATTGTTTGTATTTCCTCGGTGCTGGGTGTGATCTCTCCTCTTTCATTCATGATTTCATTTATTTGGGTCCTTTCTCTTTTCTTTTTGATAAGTCTGGCCAGGGGCTATTCAGTCTTTTAATTCTTTCAAAGAACTGGTTCTTTGGTTTCCCAAAGAACTGGTTTCGTTGATTTGTTCTACTGTTCTTTTGGTTTCTATTTCATTGATTTCAGTTCTGATCTTTATTATTTCTCTTCTCTTGCTGGCTTGAGGCTTTATTTGCTGTTCTTTTCCCCAGCTCCTTTAGGTGTAGGGTTAGGTAGTGTATTTGAGATCTTTCTTGTTTCTTGAGAAAGGCTTGTATCACTATATATTTTCTTCTTGGGACTGCCTTTGCTGTATGGCAAAGGTTTTGAACAGTTGTGTTTTCATTTTCATTTGTTTCCGTGAATTTTTCAGTTTTTCTTTAATTTCCTGGTTGACCCATTCATTCTTCAGTAGGATGCGCTTTAGCCTCCATGGATTTGAGTTCTTTCCAAATTTCCTCTTGTGATTGAGTTCCAGCTTCAGAGCATTGCGGTCTGAAAATATGTAGGGAATGATCCCAGTCTTTTGGTACCAGTTGAGACCTGATTTATGACCCAGGACATGATCTATTCTGGAGAATGTTCCATGTGCACTAGAGAAGAATGTGTATTCTGCTGTTTGGGACGGAATGCTCTGAATGTATCTGTGATGTCCATCTGGTCCAAATGTGTGATTTAAAGCCCTTGTTTCCTGGTTGATCTTTTGATTAGATGATCTGTTCATTACAGTGAGGGGGTGTTAAAGTCTCCTACTATTATTGTATTGCTATCAATATGTTTCTTTAATTTAGTTATTAATTGGTTTATATCATTAGCTGCTCCCATGTTAGGGGCATAAATATTTACAATTGTTAGATCTTCTTGTTGGACAGACCCTTTAAGCATGATACAGTGTCCTTCCTCATCTATCATTATAGTTTTTGGCTTAAAATCTAATTTATCTGATAGAAAGATTGGTACCCCAGCTTTCTTTTGAGGTCCATTAGCATGGTAAATTGTTTCCCACCCCCTCACTTTCAATCTGGAGGTGTCTTTGGGTCTAAAATGAGTGTCTTATAGACAGCATATGGACGGGTCTTGCGGGTTTTTCTCTTTTTTTTTCTTTATTCAGTCTGATATCCCCTTTTGATTGGAGCATTTGGTCCATTTACATTCAGAGTGATTATTGAAAGAGACGGCTTCAGTGCCATTGTATTACTTGTGCAGTTGCTGTTCCTGTGTTTGTCTCTGTTCCTTTCTGGTCTTTGTTACTTTTGAGCTCTCCCTTTGCTCAAAGGGTCCTCTTTAATATTTCTTGTAAGGCTGGTTTGGTGATTATAAATTCTTTTAGTTTCTGTTTGTCCAAGAAGGTTTTGATCACAACTTCTATTCTGAATGACAGCCTAGCTGGATAAAGTATTCTTGGCTGCGTATTTTTCTCATTTAGCCCTGAATAAGTCATGCCAGTCCTTTCTGGCCTGCCAGGTCTCTGTGGACAGGTCTGCTGCCAATCTAATGTTTCTACCCTTGTAGGTTTCTCCCTCTTGTCCTGAGCTGCTTTCCGCAGATGTTGACTTCCTTTTATTGATTTTGAGGGGGGGCTTCCCGGCCTCCTGGACTTGATGGTTGGTTTCCTTTGTAAGATTGGGACATTGGGAGCTATAATTTGCTCCGATATACCTTCTATACCTCTCTCTCCCTTTCTTCTTCATCTGGGATCCCAATTATTCCAATATTGTTTTGCTTTATGGTATCACTTACCTCTCAGATTCTCCCTTTGTGGTCCAGTAGCTGTTTATCTCTTTTTCTCAGTTCCTGTGTTCGCCATCATTTTGTCTTCTGCATCCCTGATTCTCTCCTCTGCCTCATTTATCCTAGCAGTTAGAGCCTCCATTTTTGGTTGCATCTCATTAATAGCCTTTTTGATTTTGACTTGTTTAGATTTTAGTTCTTTCATTTCTCCAGAAAGGGATTCTGTAGTATCTTCACTTGTTTCAAGCCCACCTAGTATCTTTACAATTGCTATTCTGAATGCTCATTCTGGTGTCTTACTGATGCCCACGCTGATTAGGTCCTGGCAGTCAGCACTGCCTCTTGTTCTCTTTTTTGAGGTGAGTTTTTCTGTCTTGTTTTTCTGTCCAGAGAAGAATAGATGAAGGAGAAAACAAAATGCTAAAATGCCAAGAGTGATCTCCGAGAAATATACATTAAATAAATCAAGAGACCCAAAATCAAAAAAAGAGGGAGAAAGAGAGAGAATACGATCAGACAGGTGTAGAGAGCTGAGCAATACACTGGACCCTGTGTGTATTTTGGTCCATTTATTAGAAAAGTAGGGATCTATCTCTTTATTTTTTTATTTTTAATTTTTTAAAAGATTTTATTTATTTATTAGACAGACAGAGATCACAAGTAGGCAGAGAGGCAGGCAGCGAGAGGGGGGGAAGCAGGCTCCCCACTGAGCAGAGAGCCCGATGTGGGGCTCGATCCCAGGACCCTGAGATCATGACCTGAGCCGAAGGCAGAGGCTTTAACCCACTGAGCCACCCAAGCCCCCCGGGATCTATCTCTTTAAAGTGTCTCCTGTTTTCTTAGGGACAAAGTGGCCTTCATCACAGGTGGTGGCTCTGGGATCGGGTTCCGGATTGCTGAGATTTTTATGCGGTGAGCTCTCCTCTGTGTCCTCTGTGTTCTCCTACCCCCTGAAACTCACTCCGCCTTGCATGGGCTCTGCTGGACCCTGGGCAAGACGCTCCTGGGCGGCAGGAGCTGCTCCAAGCAACAGGCAATCAGAGAGCATCTGAATGGGGTCACATGCTTTCCCGGAGGAGGCAGGACTCTGTGCTCTCCTCCTAGAGATTAGTTGAGGTTATGGCTCTGGCCTCAGCACCCCCACTTGTACAAAGAGGAAGGGTTCAACAGATTGAGGTAACTCTACTGCCAGGCTCCCTGGGGTTTTGCCAAGCTGGGGTTGGGGTGAGCCAAGTTGACCCCAGCAGTGTGCAGAGCACAGTGTCTCTTGAGACATGAGATTTGTGAGCTTATGTCCATGTCATCCGCTTGTGACCCCCACCCAGGAAAGGGCCAGAGTTAGATTGGGTTGGGGGAAAGAGAAAGCCTGTTGATATCCTAGGGATCCCTTCCCAGTTTTCTCCAGGCCCCCACTTTTCATACCAGAGGGGTAGGTCTCAGTAGATGAGATGTGGGGATTCATCCGTCGCAGGTGAATTCATTTTCCAAGCTGGTGGCTTTGTGCATGTTGCTTCTCTGAGTAGAGTGTGGCCAGCTGTGCTGAGGGTCATTTCTTGGGTTAGGTGGGATCTGCTTAGCAGGTGGTAGCTACTGGCCTTCCTGTGAGACTGACTTTGTCAGGAGGTGAGGCAGGGAGGGTAGCCTGGCCTCAGAATGGGCCCTCCCTGTCCTTCACTCCAACCTCAGCGAGAGGCCAGGGGAACCCAGCAGGCCCCATACAGACGCCTGGGCTGTGCATCTGAGGCTCCCAGCTGCTGCAGTGCTGCGCAGATGCTGCTGGGGGCAGGGCCCACAGCTCTGTGGGGCTGGGCTACCCCATGCCAGAGAGACCCAGACAGCAGACCCCAGGGTGGGCACCACTCAGCTTTGCTCAAGCTCCTGTGCTCTCTGCAGGCTGTGCTTTTGGCCCTGGGCTGGTGCTTCAGCCTGAGAACCCTGGGGGAAAGGAGCTCCGCCTAGAGCAGTGGGTGCGAGGCCACCTGGGTGTGTCCCTGGCACCTTGGTGCCCTCACGCCTGCCCTCTGGCACCTTGCCCCCCCTCACGCCTGCCCTCTGGCTTTGTAGGCATGGTTGCCACACAGTCATCGCCAGCAGAAGCCTTCCAAGAGTGTCGGAGGTGAGGGGTCTCTCCTGTGTCCACCACATCCATGGGTGGCTCTGGGAGGTCCTGAGGCCCAGAAGATGGTGACACCAAAACCTGCTCCCTCAGCAAACAGGCAGCTTCGGTGCAAGTGCCTCCCAAGGATACCCCAGATTCTTACAACGTCTCCTTGTTGGGAGGAGGCTCTGTGGTTGGGTGGGTAGTTCTGTGGCTCCGAGAGGGCTCTCAGCCCATACAGGTTTTGAGGGTGGTTTGCCTGTCACATCCACCTGGGAGGAGACTCTCGCCGCTGCCACAGCTGGTCTCTGGGCAGGGTCCAGATGTCACCTGGAGCTGCCGTTGACCCATGACCACGACCAGTGGCCTGGAGGATAATAGGGAAGGAGAATCCCACGCACAGGGGAAGAGAGTGGCCCCTAGGGGCTGTGGCCCCACAGAGTGGCCACTTGCCAGCTATGCTTTCCCAAAGTGGGGTCCAGCAGCAAACCCTGGCTTTCCAGCGTCATCTGTCCACATCACCCTCATCAGGTTCAGAAGCCACCGGGCTGCTGCCCACCTCTCTTTCTGTCTGGCTTCTAGGCTGCCAGAAAGCTGGCTGCTGCCACCGGCCAGCGGTGCCTCCCTTTATCTCTGGACGTTCGGGCTCTCCCTGCCATCACAGCTGCTGTGGACCAGGCACTGAGGGAGTTTGGGAAGATCGACATTCTTGTCAACTGTGAGTGGCTGCTGGGTGACACCCAGGGGCTCCTCATGGGTGGGCAGTACCAGACCTCCCTGCTCAGGGGCCTCAGAACTCCTGTTCCAGGTCCCAGGCTCAGTCTGGGTCAGTGCGGTCATGGCCCAAGTGGAGATCCTAGGAGTCAGAGCACTCTCATGGCCCAGAATTCTCCCTTTGAAAAGAAAAGAAATGGACAATTTGTTAAGTCGAGTTTTAGATTTACAGGGAGCTAGAGCAGCTGGTACCTAGAATTCCACGTGTCCGCACACAGTGCCCCTGGTGTGGGCAGCTCGCGTCCGCTGGAGTTGATGTCCCAGTGCGGTCCATGCTGCTAACCACCAAGGTTCACTCTTTGCTGAAATTCCCTTTTTTTTTTAAGATTTTATTTATTTATTTGATGGAGAGGTCACAAGCAGGCAGAGAGGCAGACAGAGAGGGGGAAGCAGGCTCCCTGTGGAACAGAGAGCCCAACGTGGGGCTCGATCCCAGGACCCCGAGACCATGACCTGAGCCGAAGGCAGTGGTTTAACCCACTGAGCCACTCAGGCGCCCTGAAATTCCCTTTTAAAAACATAGGGTGTGTTGGTTTCCTGCAGCTAACAAGGCACCATGAGCTGAATAGCTTAAAACGGGAGAAACATGTTCTCTCATTCTCGTGAGGGAACAAATCCAAAACCAAGGTGTTGGAGGGTCCCGGGCAGGGTCTGTCCCGGGCCTTTCTCTCAGCTTCTGGTGTTGCTGGCAGTCCTCAGCGCCCCTTGGCTTGGGGCCTCTCTGCGTGGCCTCCCCCATGCGTCTCTGTGTCTTTTCTGCTTTTCTTAGGAGGAAACGAGGCCTTGGATTTAGGCCCCTGACCCTGGGTGACCTCTCGACTCGATTGCGTCTGCAAAGACCCTATTTCCAAATAAGGTCACATTCACACACACCAGGGATTCGAATTTTAGCATGTGTGTAAAACTATTATTGTTGTTGTTTAAAGATTTTATTTATTGACGAGAGCGAGGGAGCGTGCGCGCATGAGCAGGGAGAGTAGCTGAGGGACAGGGAGAAGCAGACTTTCCTATCACTAGTAGTAGTAGTATTATTATTGTTATTGTTATTATTTTTATTTTTATTTTTAGACGTAGGGAGGAGAGAGAGTCTTAGGGAGGCTCCATGCTCCGTGCAGAGCCCGACCCGGGGCTCAGTCTCACAACTGAGCTGAAATCGAGTCAGATGCTTAATCGACCGGGCGCCCCGGGCACCCCCTCAGCATGTGTTTCTGAGGGACATAATTCAACCCATGATCCCATCCTGCCCCGTCCTTCAAGAGGCTACCCAAGTGCTCAGGCTCCCCTTCCCTGTCCAGCCTGGACCACCCTGAGGGCGCATGTGTCCTAACTGCCCGGGGCCCGGACACCAGCCGCTGTCTTGCGCCCTGCAGGTGCAGCTGGAAACTTCCTGTGCCCCGCCAGCGCGCTGTCTTTCAACGCCTTCAAGACCGTGATGGACATCGACACCTTGGGCACCTTCAACGCATCTCGTGTGCTTTATGAGAAGTTCTTCAGGGTGAGTGTCCCTTCTGCCCGGGAGCCGTATCCTCTGGCCATCCACTCACTGCACGCCCCTTTGTTACAGGACCATGGAGGGGTGATCGTGAACATCACTGCAACCCTGGGGGCCCGGGGACAGGTGCTTCAAGTGCATGCAGGCTCGGCCAAGGCGGCTGTGGGTACGGGCACCCCCCTGCTCTGCCTGCCAGGGCTCCCTTGGGTCCCTCCCCTGCCTGTCCCTGGAAGCCAGTAGTGTCCTAGTGAAGCGAGGCCCAGCGGTGGGCAGTGGAGCGGTGTGGCCCTGAGCCCCGGCTCACAGCTGAGCCCTCCCAGAAAGTGGAACAGCCCTGTGTCTCCCCTCATGCCTGCCTGTCTTCTCTGCAGATGCGATGACACGGCACTTGGCTGTGGAGTGGGGTCCCCAGAACATCCGTGTCAACAGCCTCGCCCCCGGCCCCATCAGTGGCACAGAGGGCTTCCGGCGGCTGGGTAAGCCCCTTGGGGAGCCCCGTGCCCCACAGTGCCTCCATGGGACCCTCTCCCACCCGGCTGGGACAGGCCCAAGTAAAGGACCACTTCCTCATGGCTCCCAGGGCCGGCAAAGAGGTGGTCTTCAAGCCAAGTCTTGGCCGTTCTTGGGGAGCACGCCTGTGAGAGACTAGTGGTCGGCCAGATGTGGGCAGCTGCTCCTTGGAGATAGAGGCCGCAGAGCCTCTGGCCTCGATACATGAGCCAGAAACAAAGGGGGGACACCCATTAGGGCTTCTAGACCTTGACAGAGTGCACGTCAGAGCTATGTGCTGGCCCCGCGGACGTGGCCAGACCTTGCCTTCCCGCTCTGCCGGGGTAGGGCTAACCGTGCCCCCAATGCTCCTGGGTGTGCTTTAGGGAGAGCTGGGCAGAGGAGAGTGGAGGGCTTGGGGCCTAGGGCTCATGGGCCTAAGCCTCTTCCTGCCCTTCCAGTCAGTTCCCAGGCCAGTGTCGGCACGAAGACTCTGGCCATCCCCCTGCAGAGGCTGGGCAACAAGACAGAGGTCGCCCACAGTGCACTGTTCCTGGCCAGCCCTTTGGCATCCTACGTGACGGGCGCTGTGCTGGTGGTTGACGGCGGGGCATGGCTGACATTCCCCAACGACCTCAAGTTGCTGGCAGATTTCGCATCCTTCTCTGCTAAGCTCTAGGTGATGTGCTGCCCTCACCTTCTGGGGGTCACTCTGTCCCTGGGCCCCGTCCTGAAACTCCCATCCACGGGCTGATGTTCACTGTTTTGGGCCCTGATGTGTCTCCCCTGAATCCCTTGGGTATATTTTTAGTACTGTTTTGGGCACTTTTGGGTTTTGGCTACCCCAACAGACCAAACTGTATGTAGGGCAGGGCTGGGGAGGGACCCAGCCCAATGGAGCTACACCCCAGACCTCAGGTCTCCCTGCAAATCAGGACAGGCATGGCTTGCCTGCCGGGGATGGGAACCCCTCTCTTTGGGAGCTCCACTAGTGGTCTGTGGAGCTGTCACTAGTGGAGCCTGCTGGGCCGTGCGGAAGGGGGGTTGCCATTGCTCTCTACCTTCCACTTCTCTCCCCCTAACCCCATGCCGGGGCCAGCGTGTGAGGCCTGCGGACCCTACTTCTCTGAGCAGCGGGTTCCTCGGAAGAAGGCTGAGGATGTGGTTGGGTCTCTGAGCTCCTCTGTCCCCCAAGCCTCTTGGGTTCCCAGTGTGGGCTGGTGGCAGAAGCACCGTAGGGCCGTGACCAGCTCCCGTCCTGTCTCTGGGGTGGGTGTGATGGAGGGACACCCAGAGGCTCCCAGCATATGGTCACTCCACGAAGCCGTGGTTGGAGCAGTTTCCCGGAGGCGCGTTTGTTGACAGACACAGGTGATGCTGAGAAGCCCGTCTTCGGAAGCCTCCTGTGATTTGGCCGCAGACACGGTCTCAGGGCCCCTGGCATGTGGGTGGCCAGGCAGCGGGAGGGTATGGGCCCCAGGCTGGCCCCTAGTCACTGGGATGAGGAACACTCATCTTGGGGAGCTCTGGGAGACTGCAGAAGGGATGACAGTGTCTGTCCCCCACTTTCCCCATACCACCGCCACCCAGGGGCACACGGGGCCCGGCTGCCGCCGCCGTCTCCGGGCACTGAGGGGGACCCACAGCATTCTTCCTACTCTGGACTGGCCCCTCGGGTGCTGTCCAGGGCGAGTGTAGGAGGCGGAAGCTGGTGCCCCTCGGTCTGCCCCTGTGACCTTGGCATGTGCCGTCATTTCTGACAGCCCCTGGATGCCTGAAGCAAAGGAAGTGTTCTGAAGGAAGCTGGTCCACCGTCTCCCGAGGACTTCTGGGACGGCTCCTGCCGTGCTCCTCGCAGGGCTGCCTCCCACCGCCACACCGGACGGTCTCAGCAGCATCGCAGCCGGACACTGGCCCATCCTCTGGGAACTCCGCTGTGTCCACATTCCCTCCCCACAGCCCTGTCTCCCGCGCTCAGGTGGGAGTGATCAGGCAGTGAGGCCCCTGCTCGCTGGCCTGCACCCTGTGGATGTCTGTCAGGGACGCTGGGATGTTCTGGAACTTCCTCGGGAGCTGGCCTGCGGTCTGTGGCTGTCCCCCCAACTGCCCTGCCTCGCCTCAGCCTGGGAGGCCTTTGTTGTCTTCCTGCCTGTGCCCCTGTGGCCCTACTGCCCGTCTGCAGAAAGGAAGGTGCTTCAGGCCCTGTCTTCCCCCCCTTGCTCTTCCCCTTGGGGATCTTACTCCACAAGGGGAAGCCAGACCAGGGAGGCTAGAGAAGCGTGTTTGATCCTTCCCGCCCCAGGCCTGGCATCCTGAATCTCCTGGCCAAGGTGTTGGACTACCATGGGATCCCCTGGCTGGGGGCCACCCATCCCTCTCAGCCATCGGTGACATGGACTGGGGGGACATGTCCCCCCACCTGCCCTGGAGTCTGTCCTTTGCTGGGATATCCCAGGGGATCGAGTCCTGTGCCATTCAGGGCCTGACTTTCTAGCCTGACTTGCTGGCCATTGTCACCAGCACCCTCTCATTGGCCCAGAGGGGTCAGAAGATTCTAGCCTCTCATTTGTTCCTTTGATGATCACTCTTTGCCATTCAGGCCAGGACCTAAGGGAACCCCTGGGACCCTAGGATTTGTTTTCTGTGCTGTTTGTTAGAAGCTCTGAGGTGCTGTACGGGAGGCGCTCCGAGCTGTGGTCTGGCCGGGCATGCGGCACCCTCCTCCCTATCTCTACCACCAGTTTGCGTTGTGCTATTAAATGCATGTCCCTAGGGGCGCCTGGGTGGTTCAGTGGGCTAAAGCCTCTGCCTTCTGCTCAGGTCATAGTCCCAGGGTCCTGGGATGGAGCCCCGAGTCGGGCTCTGTGCTCAGCAGGGAGCCTGCTTCCTTCTCTCTCTCTCTCTGCCTGCCTCTCTGCCTACTTGTGATCTCTCTCTCTGTCAAATAAATAAATAAAATCTTAAGCATGTCCCTAAAACACACTCTTTACTGTGAGACAATTCACTGGACTTTGGGAAAGTTTGTAGAAGGAAAAGGAAGATGCTTTAAAGGAATCACCAGTGTGACCTAGTCAATTCGAGATGGGGATGCTTCCTTCCCGTCTTTTTTCTGTGAGTTTAGAAATCTCTTCCCAGCTAGTCCTTGAAGCCCCTGTCCCCCGGCAGGTGGAGCCCAGGCTGTCTGCTTCCCCGGGGGGCGGGGTGTGCTCCGACCAGCCCGGTCCCCAAGGGGGCTACATGGCCCCTCGCGGTCATGGTTTGCCCCTGGGTGGTTGCTGTTAGAGGAGGAGCCTGAACCCCGTGCCCCAGACGCCATGCTCACGTGTCCCCTGTCCCAGGCCCTTCATTCTGGGAAAAGAGACCCTCCCTGCCTTCAAGATGCACGGGGAAGGATGGCAGCTGAGAGGCCACATGGCAGAGGGGGTCCCCTGCCCTTGGTACTTAAACGTGCTTCACGGGTTGCCTGGGGGGCTCAGTCACTCGGCGTCCAACTCTTGATCTCAGGGTCCTGAGTTTAAGTCCCACATGGAGCTCCGTGCTAGGCATGGAGCCCACTAAAAAAAATAATAATAATAAAATAAAGGTGTTTCTTATCATGGAGACCAGAACGGGCATTGAGCCCAGCAGCAAGGCAGACAAATGGGTCCTTCTCAAGCTCCTGCGTGGAAAACCAAAGCAGAGAGAGTGGTAACTGGGGAGGTTGGCCAGTGAGAGAGAGAGGCTGTTGTCAGAGCTGCCAGGTTGGGCTGCCACCTTTCCCTGAGGAAGGCCCTGGGGGTGGCCAGGGGCACGGTGCCAGACATGCTGTGGTGCCTGTGAAGCTTGGGTCTCTCATAGTTGAGGTAAAAACCTGGTCCCACGAGGGGTCTGGTTAAGCAAGGCCGCCTTCTGGGACCCCACAGTGGCTTTGTTCCAGGAGGACCGAGGCTGGAAAGCAGACTTTAATGACTGCCTCAGTCAGCTTCTCCAGAGAAACGGAACCAGCAGGAGATGGATGGGTAGATACGAAGAGGCTTGTTACAAGGATTGGCTCCCATGACTGTGGAGTCCCACCATCTCCCATCTGCAAGCTGCAGACGTAGGAAAGCCACTGGTGGCCAATGGTCTGAGAGACAGGAGCTCCGGCAAGAAGAGATGGACATCCCAGCTCAAGCAGGGGTGGGGGGGCATCGCCCTTCCTCTGCCTTTCCATTCTCCTGGGGCCATCAGCCAATCGCATTCTGATGGCCGTTTTCAGGCTACCAGATCAAATGCCAGTCTCTTGCAGAAGTGCCCAGAAACAATGGCTTGCCTGTGATGCTCTGCTGGCTGCGAGATAGGTCCTCTCTGTTCGGCTTCCTGCACCAGCCCGGCTGTCCCTTGGGTCTAGGGCAGCTGCTGGGGCTCCTTGCTCACAGGCACCAGCGGAGGCACCCCCGGGCCAGGTGGTGAGGCTGGTGGGCCTCAGATAGGGCTGGTGAGGGGACCGGCGGGGGTGCTGGCGTCCCAGCGGGGCACTCTGGCTCCGTGGCGGCTGGCGGAGAAGTAGCTGCTTCTCCCCTTTCACACAGGCCGTCTCTAAATTCCCCGAGGGACTGCCGGGTTCTCTGAAAGGAAGGGCGATTGTCAGAGTTTTCTGAAACCTGAGCTGCGGACGCCGATCGACAGGCCTTCCAACCCTGAGCTCCCCCTTCAGCGGGTGAGCCCCAGAAAACCCCAGCCGAGGCAGAGGGCTGCCCACCACCAGGAGGCTGCCGCCCTCCAGCCTCTCCCGCATCTCACCCGCGTCTGGGAGCAGATGCACAGTTTGAAAAGCGTGGCAGGCCTCAGCTGCTGATTGGATAAACGAGCACCTCCCAGCTTGTCCGCCCTCTGGCATCGTGAAGCACGTGGTCGCCCCTGAGGCGTCAGTATGGTGCCCTGGACAGCTGGGTGTGTTTGCCTTGGCCTGTCAGAGAGCCAAGGAACCCTTAAAATTGTCTGAAATAAGGACGGCTAGTTTGGGGGAGTTTCTGTGTACTCCTCCTGTTTCATGGAAGCTTGGTAAGATTTGACCGCGGCTGGCCTGTGTTAGCTTTGTCCTTTGTGTCACCTTGGAAAGGCCCAAGCACGAATGCTGGCTTCCCCCTGCCGGACTTGTGCCATGCATTGCTGTCCCGGTGTCCATCTCCGGTCGCTCCGGTCGTTCACCTTGTCTGCTCCCCCCGACGGAGGGTCTCTCCTGCCCTGTGCGCGGTGGCATCCGCCAGGAGGAGGCCACCCCAACGGCACAGGAAGGGTGGAAGAGGCTGAGGGAGACCTTGTCGCTCAGACACTCCCCAGCTGCCAAGGGTGCACCTTGCTTTGACTTAGCACCCGGCTGTGGACTGAGCCCTGAGCACCGCTGACTCTGACTTCCAATCCTCTCTCTACCTTGACATCTGTACAGGGGGCTCTCTGAGTAAATCAGGAAGAGCGAGAAAATGAATCTCGGAGAATCCACAAAATTTGAGGCTCAGCGTGGCGCCTGAGTGGCTCAGTGGGTCAAAGCCTCTGCCTTTGGCTCAGGTCGTGATCTCAGGGTCCTGGGATCGAGCCCCGCATCGGGCTCTCTGCTCAGCGGGGAGCCTGCTTCCCCCTCTCTCTCTGCCTGCCTTTCTGCCTGCTTGTGATCTCTGTCAAAAAATAAATAAAATATTAAAAAAAAAATTTGAGGCTCAGCAAATGTTCCTCCGTCTTATCTTCATGTTGTTTTGTCCTTACCCTATGGGCGAGAGCCAGCTTGCGACCCAGCGGTCAGGGCCCACGCTATGCTGTGTGTCCAGGGGAGGATCCTGCCCATTCCTGGCTCTGCACAGAGACTCAGTCTTGCTGCAGCTAGGCATGGTGTCCTTCTGAGACGATTCCCGTTAACAGCCGTGGGCTCGGAGAGGGGCTACTTCTAGAAAGTGCGTGTTAGCAGACCGTCCCATGTGGCCCCTGACTCACCCAGCAAATTCACCAACGTCTGATGAGCAGCCCGCCATGCTGTAACGTGTGCGCACACCTGTACTCCTTTCCTGTGACCAGGGGTCTTAGGGCCCCTCTCTGGTGACGCCCAAGGGCCAGTAGGAAGACGGCAGAGGCTGCGTGCTCTGATGCCCTGTCTACGTCCCCCCTTACACCTCAGGACTAGGGCTCTGTCCAACTCAGCCCTTATGTCCTGGGGACCGTGGGAGAGACTGAATTTTTCCCCAGACTTCCCTTTTTCCAGCTCTTTCTAACTTGGTGCTTCGGCGAAACAGACCCGCACTGGCAGGGAATTGGTGCATTTCCTATTTCTCTGTGGACTCTGGCACAGGTCTCTGTGAGTAGACCCTTAGAACCTTGCCAACGGGTTGAGGAGTCCGTAACTCTTTTTCATGTATTTTGATTAAATCTTGCATTAATTCTTCAGGGGACAAATGTTATCAGTGTGGATTTCATTAACTGAACTCGCAGAGGCTAACTTTATTGTCAAGTTTTGGAGTCTGAGGAGCACGTCCTCACATCCATATTTCAGAGCATCTCATGGAGACAGTACCTGACAGTATTTTTTTTTTAAGATTTTATTTATTTATTCGACAGAGATCACAAGAAGGCAGAGAGGCAGGCAGAGAGAGAGAGGAGGAAGCAGGCTCCCTGCTGAGCAGAGAGCCTGATGCGGGCTTGATCCCAGGACCTGGAGATCATGACCTGAGCTGAAGGCAGAGGCTTAACCCACTGAGCCACCCAGGCGCCCCTCTTTTTTTTATTTTATTTTATTTATTTATTTGAGAGATTGAGCACAAGTGAGGGGAGGGGCAGAGGGAGAGGGACAAGCAGACCCCCCACTGAGCACACAGCCCAGCACGCTGGGCTTGATCCCAGAACCCTGAGATCATGACCTGAGCGGAAACCAGGAGTCAGACACTCAACTGGTTGAGCCATCCAGGCGTCCCAGCAGGTGTCTGATGAAGGCTGAGAAATGTCCATCAGAAAAACACAGAATTACGTAATGAGCACCGGGTGTCACATAAGACTGATCACCGACCTCTACCTCTGAAACCAATAATACATTGTATGTTAATTAATTGAATTTAAATAAAACAACAAAAATTATACGGAATTAACTTTTAACTCTTCCACCACCGCACAATAATTTGGACAATTTTTACACAGTGGGAAAAGGATGATGGGAACTTCAGAAAGTATGACCTGAGGCCAAAAAAACAAGTTCTGAATCCTGTACAAACCTCTCCCTGCTGGCTCCTCATGCCCATTTCCCTGGCCACGGTCTTGGCCTTGGGGGAGAGAGGGTGGGTGCAGATTGTGGGCTACAGCGTGCTCTGGGCAGGGGGCTACGGGCGAGGCCTGTCTTCATGGGAAGACCGGAGCAGGTGCCTGCAACTTCAGAGGGAAATGTTTAAGTAAGAAAATCACCCAAACCCAGGCTGAGTCAGGAGGAGTTACATTGTGCTTTACAAACTGATGTTCTATTTTTACTCTAAGAAATGTACTTTACTAAATTTGAAGGTGACAAAAAAAATCCTTCCCCACCGAATAAAATATCAGTAAACACAAGTGTGGCTCTGTGCTCTCAACTACAGGACGCTACTGGGGAGAGTGTGATCTACACTGAAAATTGGCTTCCTTCTGAGTGTACTTACCGAACACAAAATGTTAATCTGGTTTTCAAAATTGTCATTTAAAAGTCTTTGTCCCAGGGCGCCTGGGTGGCCCAGTCCTCTGAGCATCCGGCTCTCAATTTCGGCCCAGGTCACGATCTCGGGGTCCTGGGACTGAGCCCAGTGGCCGTTCTGCGCTCAGGAGGGAGTCAGCTTGTCCCTCCCCTCACTCGT